TGGCCAGCAGGCCCAGGGCAGGGCTGTCCCCCTGGTGAGGCCACAGCTCAAACCTTTTGTTCAGGTTTGGGCCCCTGATGACAAAGAGGGCATTGAGGTGCTGGAGTGTGTCCAGGGAAGGGCAAGAGAACAAAGCCAGGCAGATTGGAGTCACAGGACACTTTGGGTTGGAAGACACCTTTAAAGGACATCCAGTCCAAGCCTCTGCAGTGAGCAGCACATTTTCACCTGGATCAGGCTGCTCATCCATCCTGACCTTGAATGTTTCCAGGGACAGAGCACCTGCCACCTCTCTGGGCCACCCATTCCATCATTTTACACGTCTCACTGTAAAAAAGTCTTCCTTATATCTAGTCTAGATCTATGCTCTTGTAGTTTTAACATTTATCTCTTGTCCTATTGCAACAGGCCCTGCAATAAAACAAAAAGGGTGTCCCCATGTTTCTTGTAGTCCCCTTTGGGCACTGGAAGGCCACAATAAGGTGGCCTCTTCCCAGAGCCTTCTGCTCTCTGGGCTGAGCAGTCCCATCTCCCTCAGCCTGTCTCATAGGCTGAAGTGCTCCAGCCCTCCCATCGTTTCTGTGGCCCTTCTCTGGACCCACTCCAGCACACAGCAGGGCTTCATTTATGGCTCACATTGAATTAAAACGTTGCATTCTGTTTGGGAATTGGTGGGAAATGAAACATACTGAAAACAGCTAGTGAACCACCTGAAGTCGAAATTGGGGCTGGCTTAAAATGTTTTTTCTTTCTGATTGAGGTCAGAAAAAATATTTTCTTTAAAACTGAAGGATTCCATAATAGTAGAAAACTTGAATTATTTTTGGTTTGAAATGGTTGATGCAATTTTCATATTTAATCTCTTTTTCTAAGTAGGCAGTCTGGGAAATCAATATAGACTCTTGGACTGCATTAATTTGAGAGAATCTGCACTTTTCCCTTGAAAAATTATTAATGTGAAAATTTTTACTCTGCATTAGAGTGAGTGCATTAGAATAAGTTAGCTGGGATCAGCTAACTTATTCTTAACATGAGAAATCTTCTTAATGTATTTTAACATTATGACTATTAGCATATTCCTAATGTTGCTTTATATCAGTGCAATCTAGGCCATGGGTCCATACACAGGCTTGAAGAGCAATACTGAATTTCATAACAGCATTGGGGATGGTTGGCTGCAAGTACAATCAGCTTCAAAATTGGAAAATAAAATATTTTGAGTTGGTAAAGCATCTTTGTGCTTTCTGTAGTGGTTCAAGGGAATGCTTTGATGGGGGGGATCTGTGGCATGGAAAAGCAGATCCATGTGCTGTAGCTGGAGAGTGCATTCGAAGACAGATGGGGTGTGTAAGAATTGTGTCTGTAGGTCCAGAGCAGGCTGCTGGGGCACAGCAAAAGTCTTCAGTCATTGCTGTTGGGCTGGTGTCTGCCATGTCTGTTAAATGTATCTTGTCAATATCAGTGTGGGCCTGATTTAGCCATAGATATTGCTAGCTATTATGCTTTTGGATAGGTATTTAACACTTGTTGTGACCTTCATCTGACATATTTCAGCAATAAGGCGTACTGTGGTGGCTGTCAAACAGACTTTGGATTTGGCAGCAAATCTGTTTACTGTGTACAGTCATGGAGATCTCATTCCAAACATCACTTACTTACACAGAAACCCTTTCAGAGCAAAATTAGACATATATTTTCTTAAACACATTCCCAAGAGCTTTTCTGAGTTACAGTTTATGTGACTGTAGCAGAATGTGTGGGCCTTATTGTTACAAATTTTGTTTTCCTTTTTTTTAACTAAGAGTCTCTTGCCTCCTCTGGCTCAGCCCAATAGTGTCCTGCCTAATGGAGGAGCCTGGAAAGAGCTGGACTCCATTGCAGGGCCTGCATTCAGGTACTCCTGAAATGAAAACATTGCAAGTCACCACCTCCAAGCTGGACCTTAATCAGTCTGGGGATGGAAAACAAAACAGAGAGCCAGACATTCCTTCAGTCTCACTTCTGATAACCATCCCTTTCACATCACTTTCAACTACGTGTTTGTGATTGAAGTATTTGGAAACAGTTGACAAGAGCTACAAGATAAATTTCACAATTGGTTTTATACAGCTGTAGTAAAATAATGATTGTAAGGGTGAGTGCACACCCTTTATGCTGTGTTTGCCTGGGATTATTGTGTGAGGAAGGGTAAAGGTAATATTATCAGTGTTTTCTGTGATTAACAACATTAAACAGAGATAAGCATACACAGAGGTGTGTGATTGAGGCTTAAGAGGCCTCAGGCACGTGAAAGGAATTCATTAGAACATGGGAGAAGATGAGCAATGTGCTTTGGGTGTCCATGTGCTAAAGATGCAGGCAGGAGGGTGAGCACTGGCCATGAAATCTTCTGGAGTGTCATGCAGGGGAATGCATTCCCACACACAAGGGGGAATCTGTAACACCTTGTGGTGCTGCAGGAGTGGGGTGGTACACAGGAGCTGCTCTGTGCTCCTCTTTTCCACCTGTACTTCAAGCTGTTAACTTTAAAGCCACACCAGCTGAATCCCTCCTGTTTCAGAAAGCTGGTGTGGGCTCCTGTTGGCTGCAGCGTGGCCAGTGATGGAACCTTGAAGAGGTTCCCTCAGCAAACCTCCTTGAAAGGCAAGTTCTGCCATGCCTTTGTGTTTCTCATGGCCTCTCACTAAAGGTCTCATGATTTAATAGCCAAAGGATGTGTTTCAGGAGTTAAGAGGTGCTCTGCTGGCTATAGAGCTTCCTATCCCTACATCCCACCCTCCTGTCTGCTCCTTTATCCTCACATTTGCCTCTGCCTTGTTCTCCCTTGCTTGAGAAAAAATCATGTGGGTTCCCATCAGGGAGGATGTGCAGGGGTGTAGGCTCATGCCTGCACACCCGGGACAGCCTGAGCCTACCTTCTCTGCAGTATCTGCTTCCAAAGAAAAGCCAAGAAAAAACACCCACAGCAATCACTGTTATCCCATGGTTCCCAGAACTGGAGCAGGGGGAGGATTTGGGTAACATTGTTAAACTCTTAGTGAGTGTCCAAAGGAGGCCAGGAGGATGGTGAAGGGCCCTGAGGGGGCCCTTGTGAGGAGCAGCTGAGGGCACTTGGTCTGTTCAGCCTGGAGGAGACTGAGGGGAGACCTCACTGCAGTGACAATTCCTTGTGAGTGGAAGAGGAAGGGCAGACACTGATTTCTTCTTTGCTGTGACCAGTGACAGGACCCAAGGAAATGGCCTGAAGCTGAGTCAGGGGAGGTTTAGGTTGGATATCAGAAAAAAGTTCTGCATCCAGAAGGTGGTTGGGCACTGGAACAGGCTCCCCAGAGAAGTGATCACAGCATCAAGTCTGACAGACTTGAAGAAGTCTGGACATTGTTTGGACAAAGCCCTCAGGCACAGGGTGTGATTCTTGGGGATTTCCTGTCCAGGGCCAGGATCTGGACTTGATGATCCTGATGGGTCCCTTGAGCTCAGCACATTCTGTGATTCTGTTGGAATACAGTCAGTGGTAAATTGGACAAGTTAGGGCACAGGTAGATTTAGTGCAAGCAGTAGAGAAGCCCTGAAGACTCAGGGATAACAGAGAACACAGCAGTCATTTGCTACACACCTAATGCAAATGCTAGAATGGGTCTGTTGCAACAACTCCACCTATTCAATCATTTGAATAATTTGAGGCATTTGGCTTCCTTACCCTTTCAGAAGCAGTCTGAGTGCTGCTTTTGCTGACAGCCATTCATTCACGTGTCTCTTCAGGACAGCTCATGAATCTGCTTGCACCTCCTTAGCTCCCAGGTAAAATGGATGACTATTTTTAAGACACAGTTTTTGGGGGAAGGGGGTTAGATAACATACTGATCTCTTAACTGCTTTAGATGCCTTACAAAATGTTAGCTAGGTGATTCTAACAGCTGTCTGAATCAGCATGAGCATCTTTGTTTCAGCAAAAGCAGGGAAATCTAGAGGACTGTCTCTGCATTGTGCTGGTTGACAATATGAAGATAATCACAACAGTAGATTGAAAGAGCTCAAAACCTCTTTTTGCAGAATATTCTTTTTCTTTCTTTCCCCTCCATTTCTCTATTTGTTGCCATTTCTTTGCATGCAAAAGAAGTTTGTTACACCTATGCTGATGCTTCGTCCTGAGAAATAATTGAGCAGTTGGTGTTCTGCTGAAGTCTCAGAATAGCCTTTACTGTTCTTCAAACAAGGAAAAGAAATCCCTGCTGTGGAAAGTGCACAGAAAAACAGGAAGATTTTATTCAATAGCCTTTACATTTTTGTGAGAGAAATCAGACAAATTTTGACAATATTTTGGACAGTTTTTCTCAGTTCTAAGGAGAGAGAATTGTTACAAGGCAATTTCCATTTGCAGGTGTCTTTTCCCTTCACAACCACACCTAGGCCCCATTCTCTAGGGCTGAACTGCCCAACATCCCTGATGCAGGTAGGATCACAGCATATGTAGAGAACTAGTGGTAGGATAAAGTCACTTTTGTTTCTTAATGCAATTTAGCAGCTGAAAAGTGTCAGTGTCCCCTCCAGAGATTCAGGCATGAGATCACAGATGTCATCCGGGAACTAAGGAACAGTTTCCACACAAGCTGAAATGGTGCAGACATTTTGGAGAACTGCTAAGCTCTGAGAAAGTGCTGCCAGACATTCTGCAGAGCAGAGCTGCAGGGAGAAAGGGAAGGCTGCTGCCAAGGGACAGAGTATTGACTCAGAGACAATTAGCAGCTCAAGGGTTCCCAATGAGAAAAAAAACAACACAAAAAAAGCATTCAAAACTCCGTAGAAGCAACACCAAGTAGCCCAACAACAGCAGCTGAGCAGTGTCAAGGCTCAGCCCTCTCCAAGCAGGCACAGAAGCCAAACCTCCCCCTCTTGGCTGCTCCAGTGCTTATCAAGGGTGGCGAGCACCTTTGCTTGTCAGCTCTGCCCACGGCTTGTGCATATTGACCAATAAATCAGGAGTTTAACTCTTTTAAGCTGTGAAATCCATTTGCTGAGGTCTGGTGCCTAACAAAAGGGAGAGCTGTTCAGTACAGGCAGCACCTCCTCATCTATCACCCTTAGCAAATCCCTGGTTTAAGAGTTAAAGCAGGAACCAGAAGCAGCATGGCAACAATTTTTGAATTCATATTAATCCTTCATTACCAATTGCTGAAAAAGGTGAGTTTTGAGTTTGTGTCTCCCTCTAGCCTTCCATACCAGCCAGCAAAGGGTGTGAGCTAATTGTTAAATTCAGTTCAACAAGTTCCTCATTAGGGTGAAATTACCTGAGTTTGAAATCTGCTAATTTTCCAATCAGGGTGAGTGTTTGCACTTGTGATTTGGAAATAATTAACACATGGTATAACATCAAAACCTATGTAAAGGCTAATGGTAGAAGGGCTAATTTCTTTGGCATGAAAGTGTTGTAGCTGGTTTCTCCAGAGTTCTGTTACTCTTCCTTCAGTATTAGTATCTGCTGTGTAAGGTGTTCTTGTATTTATTTAGACTATTTCTCCACAGAGTTATACTTTTAAATGATAATTTTATAAAATTCAACTATTGTCTTCCAGGATTGTGGGTATATTTTTTTTTCAATTTGAAATGTGCTGTATTTCTTTCTTCTTCCTCCTGTTAATGCAGACTTTCCTAGAATTACTCATTTCTATTTTCCCTAAAGGGAGACAACAAACTGATTAGGGTTTTAGCCTAAGTTCTGCAAGTTTCCAATGCACCTTCTCAGGACACCCATGTTCTGATGCTTCAGATCATTCCTAGAAATGTGAATACCCTACAGTACTTAGAAAGAAAGGATATCCAGGCAGGACAATTAATTAGGAAAGCAGATGTGCACATGAGTGAAACAAATGTAATTGGAAAATACAAACAAATGTTCTACCTTAGTTTCAGCAATCCTGAATTCCAGCATCCTGACACAGCTCAGCTGGTCAGAGCATGGTGCTGATAATGCCAGGGTTGTGCCTTTGATCCCTGTATGGGCCATCCATGTGAGAGTTGGACTTGATCTTTGTGGGTCCCTTTCAACTCAATATACTCTGTAATTCTGTATTAATGGATGACAGTAGCTGGTATAATCCAGGTAGTTTTTCTGGTAATCATTGCTACCCTTGGGCTTAGAGCATGGCACCAGCACAACTCAGTGCATCAGAGACCTGTCACCACAGGGCTCCAAAAGGAGAGACTTTAATCTCTGGTAGCCAGCTCCACCCAGGTGTTAGTCCTGGTGCGTGTTGTGGTGTTTGACAAGCAGGGTGTGACTTGACAGGTCCTGACAAGGAGAAGAGCCCTCTCCAAGTGGGCAGGCAGCCTAGCAGAGGTCCAGTTCCAGCCAGGGGAGCAGTGGCACAGAGTGTGGTGCTGAAGCTCTGCTTGTCCATGACTGGCACGTGGGGCTTTGCTTTGCTTTTTGTCACAGCATTGCCTTTAAACTCCTAAGCCCTCCAAGCAGAGCCTCCACAAAAATGAAAGCCATCAAAGGCAGGGAAGATTTAAAAGACATCTCATCTCCCAAAGCTTTGTCAAGCAGCATTCTTTAGCCAGAAGGTTTCCTCAGGAAGCCCCGGGAGAGAAATGTGGTTCTTTCTGGGCAGCTCTGTCCTCTTGCTGGTCTACAGATATCTATGGAACAGTTTGCACTGAGATAGGAATTGTGTTCTAGGTGGTTGTGAGTCAGCTCTTGGGAATTCCCTAACTGGACCAGTATCTCTGGCATTTAGGTAATGTGTTTTGAACATTTCCAGTACCATAATGGTTTAGAGCTTTCTCTTCTCAATGCACTTTTTGATGAATGTAAATAGGGTTTGCTTGTCTTCTTTCACAGAGGAAGCATTTGTGATGTGTGTCCATGCCCATTCACACTGGCAGAACTGCTGCACATAGGTGGTTGGGATTTGCATTTTCAGGCAAGCAGATTACTCCCTTTCTTGGTCAGTTTTGCTTTTTATAGCTCATTGCTTATGAACTACTGTTGCTTGTGAAATTCTGAGCTGCAAGTCTCATCCCTTTCTCTGTTGCTCTGTATCTGTTCAGTGCCTACTTTTGTTTATGACATCAGCTACTGTGGCTTCTGTGCTTCAAAGGAAATTGTTCACCTCTGACGTGGTTGCTTTGGCTATGGGCAATATCTCAGAGCTGTGAGAGCACCTTCTTTCCCCCCTCTTGTGTCGAGCATCCCCACACTGCTTGTATTTAATGTGGTAAAGAGAGCATGGTCAAGTGAGTGAGAGGGGCTGATACATTAACACTCATGATTTAGGTTGGAGATGATTGCTTATTTTCCTGAAGCTGTTTGTTTGCCCTATGTACCTTAGCTTCTACTTTTAAAAAAGATCACAGTCAAGTTCTGGTGAAGTAATGCTGCCCATTTCACTCTGATTCTTACTGAGCAGCTATTGTGTTGCAAAAGACTCACCTGGCAACTTGGTTGGTGGCTTTTGGCTTCCTTTCTGCCTCTGCCAAGGTCAGGATTGAAGAGCTAGAGATGGTATTTCGTGTTTGGGCTCAAGTGTTTGTTATTTCCTGTCTATATTACAGTCTTACAAGTGGTGAGTTCTACAGCATTCTACTAACAAGCTACAAAATAGCTTGTTGTCCTTCTCTACAAAGTCTTTTAAGGCTAAACTATCCAATTAAGAAATAGTACCTAAATTATTTTCACTTTTAACCCAATAACTAGCCACTCATGTCCCACAATGCCGACTTTTCTGTCCAATTACAAAATACCACCCAAACCCATGAAGAAGAAGGTGAAGAAAAACAAGCAGCCACCACCCTAAAACCTCCATATTGTTTTATATACACTGCTATATTTTAAAACCTTTAACTCTAAGTTTTCCACCCTGTGATATTACACACTCCTATTCAAACTCCACACCTGTAATCCCAGTGCCATCAATCAATTTTGGAAGACTTCTCCACGGCCCCAGGTCAAATGCAGCATTGTCTTGTGGGTCTGTGCACAGAAAGTTTAAAATTCTCAGCATCCAGGGTTCCAGCACTTGGGGATCATTTTTCCTGCAGTGCCAGCTGCCTTGGGAGTTGCTGAAGAACCCACACTGTATAAGTAAAGAAAGATCAAAGCCTTTAGGTCATCTGGCAGATGAAGCCAGGGAAATGATGTTAAGGAGATGAAGTTTAACCAATAGTTTTCTTTGTCTCTTATCCTTTTGGTTACATGCTGCTTTCTACCAGGCCACCTCTTCTCTCATGCTCCTTCCTCCCTTTGAAATTCTCTTATTGGAGGCCCAAAGATGGCAGTCTCCTGCCCCAGACCACCTGGGGAAAATGGTCTTTACTGAAATGGAAGATATCTGCCAGTCCCCTTCTGAGATGCTTCCTTGATTGGCTGCCTGCAGGGAGCCCAAGGCAGCTCTGAGCCCCAGGTAAGTAACAGAGTCTAAGATGGTCTTTGCTGTCAGTATAATTGTGTCAGAAAAGCAGGTGGCTTCTGGAAGCTGGTAGCAGTCTCAAGCCACTCTCTGCTTTTAATACAGATTGCTCAGTTGTTTGGGGCTGTCCCAGCAGACAGCATCCTTTGGAAGGCCACAGGGAGGTGTGTGCTTTGCTCAGATCCTGAACAGCCAAAGTGGCTCCTCACATTGCAAGGCAGCAGCCAGGTGCCACAAGGAATCAGCTCTGAGGTGAGCCCTGGGCTACAGCTTCTGCAGCAAAGCTGCATTCATGTGTCCTTTGCAAAGGAATGCTACTCTTTTGCCAGCAACCCATCATCAATTTTAGCCTGTCTCTCCCTGAAGGAAAAGAATGCTGATAAATGGAGAGAGATTAAAAGGATTTACTTTGGATTGATCATTCTTAATTTTCTAGACTTAAACCCTCTCTTTGAATGGCTCTTTTTGAGGAAGTGATCTGTCTTTTATTAGTTTAATAGAATTTGGCTACTATTACTGATCTTATCCCATCCTCAAGCAGGATTTCCACCAACAGATTAAACAGATTTCCCTGGCACTATGGTAAATCCTCTCTGTAAGCAGTTGTGGCTGAGATAAGACTTGCTATCCATGCTCTTCCTCCACCTGAGTAAGCAGTCCTGTTAAAACTCTCCTAAAGAGCTGTGAGACAAGTGTGACTCAGTGTCAGCTGGCTGTTTGTTTTTTCTTTAAAACCATGTGATTAATTACTTTGAAGTTTTCTTATCTTCTTTCTGTACTCTTCTGCCACTTGAAGCTGGATGAAGAAACCCCTGCAACCATGTTGCATGAATTAAATTGCAGTGAGAGATGATTGGTATCATCAGCCTCCGAGGTTCCAGCACACTGTCACCAGGATAGCAAAAGAGGCTGAATTTTGTTCATCCCCTGTTTGGGGATGAACGGCTTTTTCCAGCCATGATGGAAAAAGCAGTTCATCCCCATTTAATTTATTTTTATTCCATGGTCTCTCCAGGAGTTTCAGTACCATACCATGAGAAGAAACTTAGTTCTGCTAATGAAGGCAAAATCACTGTATTTGAGATAATTCCCTACCCCTGTTAGAAGAGAAAAAAAAAAGGGATATGATAAAATAATTGTGACACACACACACACCCCCCTTGGTTTCCACATTTCTTCCCAGATGAGGAATTCACTGCAGCAGCCACAGGGTGAGATATGTCACAGATTACAAAGTGAATCTCCCTGTGCAATGCTCAGGGCTCCACCTAAGGACAAGTGGTCCCTACAGGCTGAGCCCACCCCCTCTCACCTTCTCCAATGACCAGATTACCAGCACCGCAGGCTGAGGCATTGGCCCAACATCTGGCAGGCCCAGATGTGCAGTGGGAGAGGCTCGGCTCGGTGCCCGTGGGCACTAGGTGGCACACTGAGAACGCGCCCTGCGCTCCGCACCCAGCCAGCCCCTCGGCACTCGCCAATCTCCCGACAGCTGCTGGCTCTGCTCGGATCGCGCTTTCACTGCTGCTTCCTGCCTTCACTGCCAGGCTTGCGATTTATTATTAGCGCACGAATTTCTTTGCCTTAAGTAATATATAATATTAAAAGATAGAAATATAAAATTATGTAAATATATATAATATAATAAATATACAAATAATAAAATATTATATATAATATAACGAATATATATAATATAATGTATAAATACATAAATACACAAATATAAATATATACATAAATATACATACATATAAATATATATTAAATATATATAAATATATAACAATCTTATATATATATATATATATATCCGTCTTTGACTTTGGAGGATGTATTGTTTCGGCTGCCTTAAGGAATATCTGCAAGCGGTGATAGGACCCTGCTGACTCCAGCAGCAGTCACACATCTGGAAGGTTCGGGGGATCTGTGATTTATCGGGGGGAATAATGCACAGTGCAGCCCGTCCTGGGTACTGATTTGACTGAACAATTTTTACTGAATATTTTTACCACTTCCATCCTTTCACTTGCAGTCCCCAATAGGATTTAAGATTGTTATCACCAATATTATAAACAGCAAGAATCAAGGTTTGTTCGCCTCTAAACCATCCCTGTAGACAAAAAACCGTAAACCAAAGCAGGCGATGGGTGCCATTCTCAGTCCTTGCTCAGATCCTACTCTATTAGTCCTGCCAGGTGGACACTCCCATCTCAGCACACAGTGCTCCTGTGTGTTGCAACAATCACAATTTCAGTGAAATTACTCTATTGTACCTTTTGCTTTGAATTTCGTCCTTGTCAACACAAGTAAGTTAATGGCATGTGAGGCTATATACACATGCAGCTCTTGAGCCCTGCCCTCCACGCGGAGACACCGTGCTGGAACCTTGGGCTGGTTCTCTAGCTTGCGTCGAAGTCCACTCCCCGCCTGGCACAAAGCAAACAGCTCCTCAGGGATGCATTTTTACAGCTTGTCGCTCTGATTGTGTCTACAGTAACGGTTTAAATTGGATTACTGGGCGTGAAGCAAATCTCCTAATCGCGTTTCTAATGATGCCTTGAGCTGCCCAGGGGGGGCTGACCTCCCGAGCACTCCAGCAGGATGCCGACTGCGGGAAACTACAGGGGGAGATGCGGTCTAGGAGAACACCTGGAGCTCCCCCCAGCTGGCAGCAGGCTGCCCGTGCCCACGGGACTAGCCTGGAGCTAGCCCAAAATGTGAGCAACTGGAAATACCTGCCCTCAAAACAAACCCCTGCACTGTATAGACGTAGCCCTGGTGCAACTCAAGTGGTCAAATGCATGTGGAGATACTGTTCCTGATGGTTAATGAGAAATTTCTCCCAGTCTTCGTGTAGGAGCAGTTCTTGAATTTCTGTCAGTGATCTCTATACTGTATGTTGTTTCCTTTAAATTAAAGCTTGTGGAGAATTTTCCCATCAATCAGTAAGAACATGCCTGCTGTGGAATACTTTTCCTCCCTTCTTTCTCCTTACCTCCTCTCCCTATCTCCATGAAGTACCAGTCAGGACTGTCCCAGGCTCCTGTTCTTCTGCAGTGCTGGTAGACATAGTACCAGACACCAGAAAAATTCTATTTCATACAGAGAATTCTATTTCATACTTCTCTGTAACACAACTCCCTCTATGAAATTCTATTTCATACAGGGGGTTGTGTTACAGAGAAGTAACACAACCCCTCGCCCTACCCCATAGTCTGTGATGTCAAGGGGATGAAGCATTTTAAAGGCATGCTGCAAGCTGGCTTTAGGAGAATTCAGTCACACAGGGTAGCTGTTTTCAACCTTGCTGGTTTTCACCTTTCACCTTATCATTCTGATTTGAAACAGGGTGTATAAACTCCAAGCTCAATGTGCCCTCTAGTGAGAGCTGATTCCTTCCTTCTGACTAAAGAAGTCCTGTCAGAATTTAATGTCCCGGTTTAATCTCTCTTTAAATAGGATCAGAGAAGGCCTGTTGATACCACTTAGTCGTGGAAAAAAGTTCTTCACAGCAATCCCTTCTGTTAGACAGCAACTCTAGCTAGAGATGCCTGTTATCCAGCTCTGTTTTAGCTGGTGGCATCTGGTAACTTTAGGCCTTGCAGTGTGACTGCGGCAAGAAGTGGAAGAGGGCAGAGTGGGAGGAGGGAGAGAGCCAGGACTTGAGCTCACACCTGCAGCCTTTCCTCAGTGGGTCATTTTACCTTGGGCACCTTCTCCTATGCTAAAAGATTGCAAGGTTTAGAAACACAGCAAGTATTTGTATCAACCAAGACATACATTACACAGGTACAACTAAGAGGCTACTCAGCTAAGTAGTACTCAAGTATCAACTATGACTTAAGTTCTTAAATACAGGCAACTTCAGCTAATTATTACAAGTATTACCAAGCAGGTAGGCAGCTGTTGATTGGAGGGGAGTTTTCATTTCCATGACTCTTTGGAGAGGATCATGATCTCTCATCTGGCCAAGCTGCTGTTTGCTGAGTCTCTCTTCTTTCTGGGGTGTTGCAACTTTTGCCCCTCCTCAGCATTTCCCGGCTAACTGTTACTGCCTTTACAATTTCACTTCTGCCTGTGAGCTTACTTTCATGTGGTGTTAGCCTACACTCCTTCTTGCAGCTGAATAAGAATGTTCTAAGCAAGACTCAGCCAAGGCATCACAGCTGTGCCACAGCAAAAGCAAGCCTTGGGTCACAGGCAGCTGAACATCTGGGCTGGTGTTTAGCATCTGAAAGTTAGCTGCATGTCTGCACCAGAACCAAGGTAAAGGCATAATATTGCTCTTTGTTGTGGCACCCAGACTGATGTCATATTGATCATTAATATTCAGGGGCAGGGGCAAATTATCATTAGGGCAGATTAGAGCAGTGGCTCTGGATATTTTGGTACCATTATGAAGTTCAGGCTGGACAGCTCATCATGACAACAGCAGCAGAGTCCTTGAAGCAACCACTCACTGTATCACAGGTGGTCTATCAGATAGACACACTGGTTTTGATTGCTGAAAAAAATCTAGTGATATAAAAAGTCCCACTGGCTCAGACATCTTGTCCTGGGGGTTTCGTTGACGCCTTAAGAAGGACCAAGTGCACCAGAATGCTTTCAGCAGGACTGCTGGGTTTGAAACAGGCTGTAACAGATATGAACAGCAAGTTTTGTGGCGGAGTCTTTTGAGGAGAACAAAGAGAAGATTAGAATCTACCTTTTGAAAGTTCAGACAGAAAGGAAGACCAAGCTTTTTGGATAGCAGAGCAGAAAAACCCTCACATATCTGATAACTGAGAGAATCACTGACATACCAGAAGGTACAAATGCAGACTGAAGAGTGTGATCTGTGTGGAGCAGCTGGAAAAAAATCTTTGATTTGCTGGTTAATCAGAATGTACTGCAGAGAAATCAATTTAAGGATAATCTCATTTACTATTTATTTCTGACTCATATTTCCACAGGCCTGGATTTA